TCGGGGGAAGAGGGTAGTTAACAGCAGCTGACTTCCGAACAAACGGTCTCTCTAAAGGACAACAATATGATGTGTTGGCATATTCAAATAATCCGGCTGACGTCAATCGAGAATCCGAGATCATATCATTGATATCAACAACGTCCCACGAGACCACGTCCTCGAAATCTGAACTAATTGCCGCTCTCTAAACGTACAGTGTCACACTATCTCTATATATTGCTCATGGTGTGTTCACTGTGTTCACTGTGTTCACTGTGTTGGCATCATCACAGGCAGAGAATTAACTCCAATGAAGAACTTACGTCTGCACAGTGCACCGCTCTTTTTTCATCCTGAATTGGGAGAGGCGTGGCCATGTCGATATATCCTACGAAAACGTAAACTGGGCCTTCGACACTGGGACTCATTTGCCCCGGGCGGGCCCGCCCGCGGCAAACACAAATTTAAAGGAAAAGCTGTACGACTTTACAGTCCAATTCCAGTTTGAACGTCACATGGGAGACGAGAAAAAAAAAAGGAAAAAAAGGAGCAGAGATTAGAAATGCGACAGGTCACAGCGGTGCGTCCGGGGACCGACCCCATTATCTGAATGTGCGACTTCTGAGTGTGCGGCTGCCCTCAGAGGTGAGGACCGAGCAGGTCGCACTCCTCAAGAGTGCGACCTTCCCTGCATGCAAACAACCAGCTTCCCTTGTTGTTGTGAATGGTCAATCGAGGGAAATTAGGGGATCGATGACCAAGACGGGGGGACTCCATACACTCCTCACGCGACGACCAAAAGACAGGAAGGAAGAGCAGACCATAGACAAGAGCGACTAAGTCAACGCCACTATCTTCAAGTTGATGAAGTTACATGAAGTACAAGAAGCATTCGGAAGAAGGCATAAAGTCCTTCGGGACATCGGTAAAGATTAGAACGATACAGAAAAGGTTTGCATGGGCCCTGCCGCCCTGCGCAATTATGACAGGCAGAAATAGAGAGTCATTATTGTACAACAAGGCATAAATCATAATACGCCGAGGCTATGGCGCCACGGCATTCATTCTACCCACAAGTTCCCAACTTAAGCACCCCGGGCCCCTCTGGCAACATCCCGACACGTGTTTCGACCTAGTACGCTAGAAAATCTGCCATTCTAAGGGGAGGAGCAACCTTCCCATGTTGACCGTGTTCTCTAGAATCTCTAGTACGTCCATCTTGGAATGGCCGGACAGTGGACACGGTCTTGAACAGTTCCTCTGCACTTTTGGATCTCGAAGCAGCTTTTCCAAAGAAACCGGGTAACCAGTGAATGATTTAATTAAGCCGTCAAGTCGACGGCTTGAAGATTCTGAATTTCTGAAATGAAATGATGGGCCCAAGTATGAGGGGGCGGGGAGACCTCACACCAGGAGCTCTAATAATAGGTAATAGACGATAAGCAGGGGAAGGGATACAAGTGTTCCCAGACCCACAGATGTGCTGAGTACGTCTGGATGAACGCCAAACTGAGACGCAAGGACGAAGGTTATAACTGCTTGTGGAAGTGCCGATTGAATGATGGCCACTTTGAGAACACGCCCTCTGCAGCCAAACAGGTAGGTGATGATGCCGGCCAGGGCTGGCTCCCAAAGAAGGCGCAAGGAGAATGTCCACGTGGTGTTCCACCAGCCGATCGGGACCAAACTGCCTTCAAGTGCAGTGAACATTCCCAGACTGATCATGGACAAACCCAGGCACATGTTGCTTAACATGGTGACCGTTTTCTCCAAAGGCGTCGGCATATCAAACCCGTACCTTGAGGCAAGAAGGCTGTACGCCATACCAACCAGGCCTGCCCACATCAGACGCCCTTGAAGAAAGGCCTTGACGCAGACTACCCACAGCCTGCGTTCCCCTGACGATCTCGGCGATCTCGGATCAGGGTTTGAACTCTGTGATGGGCCTGATGGCCCTGGACTTGCTGGTCCTTCTTCATTTCCCCCTTCTAGCGGATCAGGCCCATCGGCCCCATCAGGGTTCGAACTCTGTGATGGGCCTGATGGCAATCTGCTCGCGCTTTGATCGGATTGATGTGGCGAGGAAGACGGAAGCCATGGACATGGCCTCCTCCCGTCCTTTGTGTTTGCGCCGGCTTCCATTTCGCAACAGTTACTCCCGGCAGGAACACACCTCCAGCCTTTCGTCTCCTCAATCACATCCTGCACACCATCGCCAGCGACGCCAGGCCTCTTCTGTGTCTGCTCTCTACACTGATCGCGCAGAGGAGATTCACTTTCTTGGCCACTGGCTCGAGCAGTAAGGCGACGCAGCGCCGCCGCAGCAGGAGGTGATCGGGGGGGGGCAGACCCGCCAGAGGCCTGGATTACCACGGAGATCGACGGTTCGAGGCCGTCGAGATGACTGCTTCCCGCTTCAGCAGAGTCGGCTGGGGACTCTGTGAAAAACGAACTCGTAGAACGGATTGGCAGAGTCTCTAGGGACCTCCCTTCCTCGCGCTCTCGGTCATCATCTCGATTCGCAGAACCGTAATCATGGTTCCCTTCTGCACCGGAGACGGCCGATTCTCTACTGTCATGCGCAGACGCCTCTGTGATGATTCTGGCAACGGCCACATGGCGATGGTTACTGCAGCATGGATCTGTTGCTGTTGACCGCTGAAGCATTTCCCTGTCCGGCCTGTCCCCGCGTGCCGCTAGTGAGAAGATGCTTGGCGATTGCCGTGACTGCAGTGTAGCGAAGTTCGACTCAGAGTCTTCCGTTGGTCGCCGCTCCGGTTTGCGGAGAGACTGCGCTATGTCGAGTGCGATTTGCAGGAAAGGAAACCAGAGCACGACCTGCACTACCACGATCTGCGCAACTAATGGTAAGCTATCGGGGCCGTACATGGCCTCCAAAAGAGGGAATCCTACGATGACTGTGTTGGGTACTGTGGCCAGCATAAAGGTTGTGAGCCACCACTCCAACTGAGAGACAAAAGAGTCGGAGCTAGCAAGACTTCGCACACCCAGCCCTAAGACTATGAACATGATGAACTTGGCTACTGTATCTGCAACCACGAACCAAACGTCCGTCTTCGACAGGTCGATATTTGCAAGGACTCGGAAACCGTAAGCCGGTAGCACAAAGAAGGAGTTGACATTGTTCAGGCCTTCGTAGTGGTCCCGCGTTAAGATCTTCCAGTTTTTCACCCCAACGAACCCGAGGATAATCCCACCATAGAACGGCACCACTGCCCATATCACGTTCGCAAGCTTGTTCCACTTCATAACGCTGTCGCACTGGTCCCCCCCCTGTTTCCACTTTCTGTCCCTCTGTCTCTTTTCCTGTATCTTTTCCTTCGTCTCTCTTGTCCGTTCCCCCGTCTGTCTCTCAGAGTCTGTGTGTGTGTGTGTGTGTGTGTGTGTGTGTGTGTGTGTGTGTGTGTGTGTGTGAGAGAGAGAGAGAGAGAGAGA